AGACTATTATTATAATCAATTGCCATTTAGCTATAGTATTCCAACCTGATTAAACATAATTAAATACCTTTAAGATAATTAAGCATCCCTATTATTACCCGCTTTTATCTTTTAAGTACACATATTAACACTTTCTTATCCACCACTAATTTGCAGTATGAAGAAAAGGGAAGCTATGTTTTAATTTTCCTAGCAGTTTCTTAAGACCCTTTTACTAATCCTTAATTTAGAAATTCAAATTATCACTCAAAGTCATTTTAAATTATGATTAAAATGAATTACAACTTAACCATAATATTTTAACATAAATAAACATGATTAAACATTTTTAGACAATTTAGCATCCCTCTTATTACCACACCTTTAAACTTTAAATTACACCTAATAACGCTTTCTTAATCCCCACTATTATACAACAAAAAAAGATTTTAAGGTCATTTCCCCCCCACTAGGCCTATATCAGAAGAAAACGGATCATTCCACCTCCTTATATAATTTATTTTTCCTCCTACACATCTGTAATCTATTTTTCTGACACAGCATTTCTACATGCCTTCTTCCTTCGTGTGCGTACTGATTTCCTGGTCTCCCCCCTCTGGCTCTCACAAACTTTATTTCCCACACGTTATTATCCCTTTTAAATTTCCAAGCCCATGATTTGTTTCTTTTTGTTCTCCTGCACAACCTTTCAACATATCTTTTTCCTTTATGTATGAACTGATTTTGTACTCTCCCCCCTCTAACTCTCACATACTCCCTTTCCCACATTTTATTGTTTCTTTTAAATTTCCAAGCCCGTGCTCTTTTCCCTTTCGCGCTCCGGTTTCCTTCTTTTCCATTTTTCATTCGTTGATCATCATCATCATCATTATTATTATTATTATACATTCAGTTTATATCCCGCTCGAACCCCTCCCACGGGGTCTCTGAGCGGCTTACATAGTTTATATTATTATCCCTGTCTATGGGCACATGTATTGTTGGGGCGGGACTGAATACCAGCACCCAGTGGGATTCAGTTGGTGTTTCATCAGCTTGTCTCGGCTCGGCTCCCGGCTCGGCCTCTTCCATCCACTTTTTCCTTCAGACTTCTCAGGTGGTCTTCTAGAGTCGGCGGGCCCATTCGTCGCGCAGATCGCCTCGGCGTGGCTTCCAGCTCTGTCCCTCAGGCTCCGCCGTGCCTGCGCCGCCGTGCCTACGCTTCCTGGCTCCGCCTCCGGTCCACCGCTCGATGTTACGTCTCCTTACTTCCGCTCGCCACCTCGCCACCATCATTTTCTTTTAACAGTTCTGACTTTACACCAAATGATTTTTTTCTTCTTCTTTATCACTGTTTTGGTTAAGGGGTATTGAATTACTACACAGTCTTTCTCCTGTAGCACTCCTGGGTTTTCTGCCACACAATAACCACCTTTCTCCTTTTGCTGATCTTCTAAGCTTTCAATTAAAGTGGGTTGCTCCTGCTGCTTCTTTTTCTCAGCTTCTACTTGGATGTGATATGTTTTCCTTAAGTTTGCACATGCTTCCTCACATCCTTTTTGAATCCCCTCTTTCAAAACTCTAATAAACTGTTCAATCGTCATCTCGCCCACCTCCATGTTTTCATCCATCTCCTTCTTTGTCCTCAGTGCAAACACCATTTTATTCCGCCTCTTAAATTTCTTCAAATTCAAAGTCAATGTGCTAAATAGCCAACAAGCCTCCAGCCATCTATTGTCCTTTATAAATCCTTTCCAATAAACAGAGAGGGGGAAAAATACGCCAACTATAGCTCGAACATGAAATTGAGCAAACTTCAGAGGATGGCGGAAGACAGGAGGGCCTAGCGTGATCTGGTCCATGGGGTCGCAAAGAGTCGGACTCGACTGTGCGACTGAACAACAACAAATATTATAATATCAATGTGAACAAATGCATTCTAATACTTCATGCAAACAATCCAACACAGAAATAAGCCCATCTCGAAAAGATTCAAATACAAGGTCCCCTGTAATAATTCTGATATCCAAACGAGGATAATCCATTATTACAGAGTTCATTAAGCTCCAAACTTCTCCAAAAGGATCCTCCTTTCACCTCCTGGGTCATGATGTGTGGGCAAGGGTCAGCATAACAGGTGGGCAAAGATCAGCGATTAGGCACACCGATCCTGATTTGAGCCTATATTTCCAGACTCTGCAAACATCTGGATTGATCAGTTACTCTCATCCAGTAAGAGCCCTGACCTTTGCACATCCTAGTACCTGTGGGCATCTTAAAGCTAAGGGTAGCTTGTTAATTATTGTACTTCTCTTGTTTCTGTACGTGCAAGTCCAAACCTAACCCCACGGTGGGTGGGGGGGGCAGAGTGTGGATAAAATAAACGCTTGCTGCCTTGAAAGGCAGACTGATTTCTCTACCCTCAAGAGAGAGCGGTCTCCTGTGATTCCTTCAATGATGTGTCTCTCATGTGTTTTCAAATTGGATATAGTGTTCTTACTAGATTATTCCACAAACTCTCAGAAATATGTATTTATTTATTTATTTTATTCAATTTATACCCCGCCCTCCCTGCTATGCAGGCTCAGGGCGGCTTACACGAAGGCACACGCCAATATAACACATATTTAAAACCATTTAAAATCACTACAGTACAATAACATTATTAACAAAGTGCTCTAGATGTTCTAAGATGATATTCCACAAGATGGCGAATTACAACTGCTCCATTGCAACTGCTCTACCTACTCAGCATCATCTGCTCCGGGAACCACTGATGTGCCTTCTTCCAGGGCCAGGTTAAGATGGAACAGTAGTGATGGTAGTGGCGGCTCCTACTCATACGCCTGGTGGAAGAGCTCCGTCTTACAGGCCCTGCGGAACTGTACAAGGTCCCGCAGGGCCCGGATCTCCTCCGGGAGCTCGTTCCACCAGGTAGTAGCCGCCACCGAGAAAGCCCTGGCCCTGGTAGCGGCCAGCCTGGCCTCTTTGGGACCTGGCATTACCAGGAGATGTTGCGTCCCAGACCGTAGTGCTCGCAGGGGAACATATGAGGAAAGGCGGTCCCTTAGGTAAGCTGGACCCTGACCATATAGGGCTTTAAAGGTAAGAACCAGCACTTTGAAGCGAATCTGGTAGGCTATTGGCAGCCAGTGCAGCGCTTTCAGCACAGGCTGGATGTGATCCCTACTAGGAAGACCCATCAACAGCCTGGCCGCAGCATTCTGCACCAGCTGCAGCTTCCGGATTTGCAACAAAGGCAGCCCCATGTAGAGAGCGTTGCAGTAGTCTAGCCTCGAGGTGACCGTCGCATGGATCACTGTGGCCAAGTCACTGCGGTCGAGGAAGGGAACCAACTGCCGCACCAGCCGCAGATGGTAAAAAGCTGACTTGGCAGTGGCTGCCACCTGGGCCTCCATAGTTAACGAGGAGTCCAGGAGCACTTCCAAACTCCTAACCTCCGGCGCTGGCACCAGAGGCACCCCATCGAAGGTCGGGAGAGGGAGCCCCCGCCCCAGACCACCGCGACTCAAGCCCAGGACCTTTGTCTTCGCCGGGTTTAGCTTCAGCCTACTCAGTCGGAGCCAACCAGCCACAGCCTGCAATGCCCGGTGCAGATCTTCGGGGACAGAGCTCGACCGGCCGCCCAACATCAGATAGAGCTGGGTGTCATCAGCATATTGATGACACCCAAGCCCATACCTCCAGGCAACCTGGGCAAGGGAGCGCATGTAGATGTTAAAAAATAACGGGGAAAGAACAGCCCCCTGAGGCACCCCACACACAAGAGGGTGTCTCCGGGACTGCTGCTCTCCTATCACCACCTTTTGTCCCCGACCACGGAGAAAAGAGGTACGCCATTGGAGGGCGAGCCCCTGAATCCCCACGTTGGCGAGGCGGTGGGTCAGCAGCTGATGGTCGACCATATCGAATGCGGCCGACAGATCTAACAACAACAGCGCCGCCACACTGCCTCGATCCAGAAGCCGTCGGAGGTCGTCAGTAAGGGCGACCAATACAGTCTCCATCCCATGCCCCGGGCGAAAGCCGGACTGGAAGGGATCTATTCTACAGGTGTACCCAATGAACCAACCCAGAAGTATCTTGGTAAGGGACCCACATCATATATATGTGTATATACATACACAAAGAATCAGTCAATAGATAATGTCTACCAAAGCACACCTCACAATATCACTTGCAGAGATACAATCTATAGGAAAAATATTTACAATAATACATACAGAACTGGAAAAACCTTCCAGTCATCATAAAACTTTAGATATCTGAAGACATCTCAAAGTTGAACTTGATTGATCGAATCTGCAATCCGAACTGAACTGGCTGCTTAGTGTTACAGTTTAATATTAGGTACTGCTAAACCTCCTCTTTTTTCTAATCCTGTAATACTTTACATCTAATTCTTAGTTTTTCCACTCCGTATATATTTCTTTCTTTCTGCCAGTCCATCAAAGTCTTTGTATCTGAAACAACTGAAATAGAAAATTTATTTTGGCAATCCATTGATTTTTAATGTAGAGACTATTCCAAGCCACGATGATTTTAGTTTGTACCTCTGTCCAAATGCACGTGGGTTTGATTGAGGCTTTCCCTCCATTACTGAAGCTGTTCAGTTTTATCACTTGGACTCTGCAGCCTGGAAGGGCGAGGCACGCTCTTTGCCTCTCTGGTGGGTTGCCGTATTCGTCCGTAGAAGCAGAGCAGAGTTAAAGTCCAGTAGCTCCTTCATGACTATTCGAAAGAGGGGTTGCCCAAAAAAGGCCATATGGAGTCAGGATGCAGAGGTGCCATAAGGTCTGACGGATCTTTGTTTTCATTTCTGCCTGACCAAATCAGCTTCTTCCCTGGGAAATTTCCTTGGTCTTTCAGATGCTACCCCTCCACCTTCCTATTTCCTTTGGGAAGTCCTTTTTCCTTATTAGGATGGTGAGAATGGAGCTAGGTTCCCTTGGAAACAAGTGTGTGAGTTCTTTGATGATTTTGAAGTTCACCACTCCTACGGAATCTCTTTCCACACTCTGAGCATTCAAAAGGTTTCTCCCCTTTGTGGGTTCTTTGATGCTCTTGAAGATGGCCACTCTGACTGAATCTCTTTCCACACTCCGAGCATTCAAAAGGTTTCTCCCCTGTGTGGGTTCTTTGATGCTTTTGAAGATGGCCACTCTGACTGAATCTCTTTCCACACTCCGAGCATTCAAAAGGTTTCTCCCCTGTGTGGGTTCTTTGATGCTGTTGAAGAATGCCACTCTGACTGAATCTCTTTCCACACTCTGAGCATTCAAAAGGTTTCTCTCCTGTGTGGCTGCTGTGATGCTGTTGAAGACTGTCACTCTGACTGAATCTCTTTCCACACTCTGAGCATTCAAAAGGTTTCTCCCCTGTGTGGGTTCTTTGATGCCTTAGAAGATTGCCACTCAGATTGAATCTCTTTCCACACGTTGAGCATACGAAAGGTTTCTCCGCGGTGTGGGTTCTTTGATGCTTTTGAAGATCACCACTCTGACTGAATCTCTTTCCACACTCTGAGCATTCAAAAGGTTTCTCCCCTGTGTGGGTTCTTTGGTGCAGTTGAAGATTGCCATTTTGACTGAATCTCTTTCCACACTCTGAGCATTGAAAAGGTTTCTCCCCTGTGTGGATTCTTTGGTGCAGTTGAAGATTCCAACTCAGACTGAATCTCTTTCCACACTCTGAGCATTCAAAAGGTTTCTCCCCTGTGTGGGTTCTTTGGTGCACTTCTAGACTGCCACTCCGACTGAATCTCTTTCCACACTCTGAGCATTCAAAAGGTTTCTCCCCTGTGTGGGTTGTTTGATGCTCTTGAAGATGGCCACTCTGACTGAATCTCTTTCCACACTCTGAGCATTCAAAAGGTTTCTCCCCTGTGTGCGTTCTTCGGTGCTTTTGAAGATCACCACTACTACTGGATCTCTTTCCACACTCTGAGCATTCAAAAGGTTTCTCCCCTGTGTGCTTTCTTCGGTGCTTTTGAAGTTCACCACTACTACTGAATCTCTTTCCACACTCTGAGCATTCAAAAGGTTTCTCCCCTGTGTGGGTTCTTTCATGCTCTTGAAGTCTGTCACTCCGACTAAATCTCTTCCCACACTCTGAGCATTCAAAAGGTCCTGTGTGGGTTCTTTCATGCTCTTGAAGTCTGACACTCCGACTAAATCTCTTCCCACACTCTGGACATTCAAAAGATTTCTCCCCTGTGTGGGTTCTCCGATGCTTTTGAAGACTGTCACTCCGATTGTGGACTGGGATTTCATGGCAGCCCCCTTCTTGGCGAGGAATGGAGTGAACCCCTCTCTTCACCGCACAGCTTCCTTCCTGCCTCTGTGGTCCATCTCTGTTCTCTGTTCCTGGGTTTTTTCCAGTGGGAACTTCTGAAATTCCCCAAATGACTCTTCGACATCTTCTGGAACAAGGAGGGAGAATTAGTTACCACTTACACAAGTCATGAAGCCACCAATCAGAAACTCCTGATTAACGAGTGTGCATTTCATCTGCTGAGCCGCTGGTCACTTTTCCCTGGCCAGGCCTCCAGTAGAGCCTTTTCTGTATTCTGTCTATCCCTCCCCTCCCCAAAACTCCCCAAATGGACTTTAAAGGAAAAAGCTGGCAAAGATCTGTTGCTTTGCCTTTCCCTTTTGCCATGCCATGCAGGTCTTTTGATATTTTTTTTAAACATTTTTATTTGGATATAACATCAAGTCAACCAATACTGCATTTTAACATCCCACTTCAGTTCAACAATAAAACAGAAATTTATATTTTATAACTTTTAACCCTCGTTACATCCTCTTCCCTCCCTTTTCCCTCCTCTATATATGGCTTCCCACAATGCTTCGACCTCCTGCATATCTTAAATTCTAACTTAAATTTTCCATTTAATATTTCTTATAGTTCACTAGGTAACATTTATGTCTACTCCCTTTTTTAAAAACTTCTCCTTTTTTATGATTTCCATAATGGTTCTTTTAATAATTTTCAAAACTAAATAGCATAACTTTTATGTCTCCATTTTTTTCCAAATAATCCTTTAAATCCTTCCAGTCTCTATAAAATTCTTCGGCTCCTCGATTATTCAATTTTCTTGTCATTTTATCCATTTCCACTGCAAACAACAATTTTTTAATCCATTCATCCATTCCCGGTGTTTCTTCCTGCTTCCAACCTTGTGCATAAACAAGACTAGCTGTAGTCACCATGTACCACATCAAAGTTTTTTTGTCTGCATTAACTTCCTCCATTTTCAATCCCAGGAGTAGCAGTTCTGGTTCCTTTTTAAATGTACATTCCAAAATCTTTTCCATCTCAAAATGGATTTGAGTCCAAAAAGCTTTAGCTTTTTCACATGTCCACCACATATGGTAAAAAGAACCTTGTTTTTTCTTACATTTCCAGCACTTATTTGACATGTTCTTATTCATATTTGCAATTTTCTTCGGTGTCATGTACCATCTATACATCATCTTATAACAATTTTCTTTGTAATTAGTACATGTAGATATTTTCAATGCATTTTTCCATAAGTACTCCCATGAATCTATAGTTACTTCCGTATTCATATTTATCGCCCATTTTATCATTTGTTCTTTAACAGTCTCTTCTGTATACCATTTTAACAATATTTTATAAATTTTAGAGATACATTGTTTTTCCCCTTCAAACCATGCAACCTCTATTTCATTATTTTTTTCTCTAAAACCAAAAGTTTTCTATCTTTTTTAAACAACTCATTTATTTGTATATATTCGAACCACCCATATTTAAATACGATTTCTTCTTTTTTCAAAACAAATACTTTCCCCTCTTTTTTTAACATGTCTTTATATTGAACCCAATCTTTCCATTGAGATCCCGAATGCGGTTTGATTACCTCTGCTGGCACTATCCAAAGCGGCCTTTCTTCTGAAAAATTTTTTTATATTTACCCCAAACATCAGCAAGAACTTTCCTAATGGTATGTTGTTTAAAAAACCCATCAATTTTCATTTTTTCATACCATAAGTAAGCATGCCACCCATATCTACAATCAAATCCCTCCAATGCCAGCAGCTTTTTATTTTCCAATGTAACCCACTGCCGCAACCAAACTAAACAAGCCGCATCATGGTATAGTCTTAAGTTGGGTAATTGCAGTCCACCTCTTTCTTTGGCATCACAAAGAATCTTCATTTTAATTCTTGGTTTTCCCCCCTTCCATACAAACTTTGATAACTCTCTCTGCCATCCATCCAAGATTTTTTCCCCTCTTATTATTGGAATTGTCTGAAACAGAAACATCAATCGTGGTAAAAGATTCATTTTTATCACTGAGATTCTTCCCATCAGTGATAAATTCAGTTTATTCCATTTTTCAAGATCTTGTTTTATTTTTGACCAAAGCTTCTCATAATTGTTCTTATAAAGCTCTATATTTTTCATAGTCAAGACTACTCCCAAGTATCTGGCTTTAGATACAACCTCACATTGCACCACTTGCTGCAATTCTTGTTTTTCTTTTATTGTCATATTTTTACACATTATTTTCTACTTGTCCTTATTCAAATAGAAACCAGCTAATTCTCCAAACTCCGTTAACTTTTTCACCAGCTCTGGTATGTTTTGTTTCGGCTCTTCAATCAGGAACACCACATCATCAGCAAACGCTCTATACTTATATGAAAATCCTTTATTCGTTAAGCCCAATATCTCTTTATCTTCTTTAATCTGTTTCAAAAAAGTTTCCAAAATCCATATAAATAATAACGGAGATAGAGGGCACCCTTATTCTGTCGTTTCTGCATTGATTACCTACACCGCCTTTTCTTCACTGTATATTGCTTGTATCATGTTCATGAATTTTTCTCCGACACTTATTTTTTCCAATGTTTCAAACATAAAGTCCCAGTTTAAATTATCAAATGCTTTTTCTGCATCTACAAAGAAAAAACCGATCTTTTTCCCTGGATATTTGTCATAATATTCAATTGCATCAATCACCATTCTTACGTTATCCGTTATCTGTTTTTGGGGTAAAAAGCCAGTTTGTTCTTCTCCTATAATTTCTTGCAGGTATTTCTTTACTCTTTCTGAGACTATTTTGGCAAAAAGTTTATAATCATTATTCAATAGAGAAATTGGTCTATAATTTTTCACATTCTTCAAATCTTGTGCTTCCTTAAGAATCAGTGAAATTACCGCTTCCTTCCAAGTATCCGGAATTCTCTTTGTTTCCCTTATATCATTCATTAACAGTTCCAAAAATGGGGTCAGCTCCTCTTTTATTTTTTTATAAAACTTCACTGTGTATCCATCTGGTCCCGGAGCTTTCCCCAGCTTTGCATCCTGTATTGCTTTGTCAATTTCTTCTCTAGTAATCAATTTGTTTAATAATTCTTAAATTTCTCTGGAATCTTCAAGTTCACTTTATCCAAATAATTCTTTATTTTCTTTTTATCCACATTTTTTTGCAAATAAATTTGCATAATATTTATAGAAAGCTCTTTTAATTCCATTGACACCTATTATCTCTTTTCCTTCTTCAACAATTTTCGTTATAATGTTTCTCTCTTACCTCCTTTTCAATTGCCATGCCAAATATTTACCCGGTTTATTTGCCCCTTCAAAGGATTTTTGTTGCAGTTTTTTCAAATTCCAGTACAATTCTTGATTTAGCAATCCATTTAATTGCTCCTGCAAAATTTGGATTTTCCTCAAAAAAAATTTCTTTCCTGGCTTTTTCTTTAAATCTGCTTCAAGCTTCTTTAACTCTTCCGTTATTTGATTCTGTTGCTCCATCCTCTTTTTCTTGTCTTTACTGTTTAGAGAAATCAACAAACCTCTAATCACAGCTTTATATGTATCCCAGATTACTTGAGATGACATCTCTTGTGTTATATTTATTTGAAAAAAAACATCTGGTCTCTGTCTTTATAATCTCCACCACCTCTTCCTGGTCTAAAAGATCTTCATTTATTCTCCATCTTGGTTTTTTCCGTTCTCCTTTCAAAACCGATAATAATGGGTTGTGGTCTGAGTTGTATCTTGGTAGTATTTCAATGGTTTTAGTCCTCAAAACCAAATCACCTGTTGCCCATATCATGTCAATTCTCGAGAAAGATTCATGTCTATTAGAGTAAAATGTAAAGTCCCTGATCCCAGGGTTCCATTCTCTCCAAACATCTTGTAATTTTTCTTGTTCTGCCATTTCAAAAAAAAACCTTGGGTAGTTTCCCACTTCTTCCCGACTTTTGTTGTGATTTTCTGTCCAATTCAAAATTAACAGTACCATTAAAGTCTCCTGTTATTTTAGCTGTTCATATGTTACTTGGTCTAATTCCTTTGTCAAGTCTTTAAAGAAGTTTTCTTTTGCTCCATTGGGCGCATAAATATTTACAACCAGCATTCTTTTGTCTTGTATCTTTACTTCTATAGCCACATATCGTCCTTCTTTATCTTTAAAGATCTCTTTAGGCTCTAATTCTTTCTTTGCGTAAATCACAGTACCTCTTTTCTTTTTGGTTGCCAATGAATAAAATTCTTCTCCTAATTGCCTAGCCACCAAATATTTGCAATCTTGTTTTCTAATGTGTTTCTTGCAAGCAAATCAAGTTACTTTTTTGTTTCACCAGCCAATGTCTCACAATTTTTCTTTTTTGGGGAGAGTTTAGTCCATTTACATTCCATGAAAAAATTTTGTACTCCATCATCATGTCTTCTTATTATTTTTCTCCAAAATCTTTTTCAAATTCATACATAAATTCTGCCATTCTTGCCGAAGTCTTGATTGTATGCCTTTGATTTTGATATGTGAAGCTTAATCCTTGTGGTATCTCCCATCTGTATCTTATGCTCAGACTTCTCAACTTATCTGTTAGTTTTTTAAAAAAAATTCTGTCCTGCAGAATCTGTCTTGGCAATTCTTTCATTACCATGATTTTCTTCCCGTCCATTACAAACGGGACTGTATACTGCTTTTTAAAAATGAGCTCCCACATTCTTTTGGTCACCAATTGCACGATCACATATCTCGGTAAATTCCTCTGCGTTTCTACTGCCAAATTTACTCTGTATATCAAATCAAAGTTGAATTCTGTCTCTTCCACATCCTCATCCTTGAGATATTCTGTAATGGCTTCAATTACTCTTATTCTTATCTTGTCATCCAATTGTTCTTCAATTCCTCTCAATCTAAGGTGTGTTTGCATGGCTCTGCAGTTCACCATTGCATCCAATGTCTTATACTCTTTTGACACAGTCTCAACTTTTTGATTTACATCTTGCATCTTCTGGCTTAAATCCTGTATCTTTTGGTCTGTTTCTGTAGATTTTTGTGACAGGCTTTGGACTTCTTTTCTAAGTTGTCCCACTTCTTTTTCTAATTTATATCCCATTTCTCTCTTTAACTCAGCAACTTCTGCCACCACAAGTTCCTTCATCCGCTTGCCCATGCAGGTCTTTTGATGATGAACTATGAAAAGTGGTCATAATTTCTAGTCCTGGGATTGTACAGAGAGTTTCCATCCAGGTGTGATGACAGAGAAGAGGAGCTGGTCTTCAGACTCCCATAACACATGTCGGCTGGGGCAGGGGAGAAGTCAGGACCTCAGCAAGCAAACCCCACAGTTCTAAGGGAACTCCCATAGGAATACCAGCTGTTGGGGGAGAGAGGGAGGGGAGGCCTGGAGATATTCAACTGACCACGGTGGGAAAAGACTGATGGGCTTCTGACTCGTCCAGCTAAGCTTTTCTTAAGTGAATACCTCACCTTTCCCTGAAATGTCCGGTATTGGACAGCCCCTAAAGGGACTAAAAGAGCCACAACTGAGCTCAGACCCAGGAAGAATTCCCAGGATCGCAGGCCCCAAAGGGCTTCCCTCCTTACCCAGAGGGCTTTATCATTCTACCCAACCAAGAGCTGCTAAGACGTGAAGCAGAAATCCACCATGGCTATTCTTTGCCCTTTCCCTTGACATAAAGACGAAGCAGACTCACTCGCAGCCAGTTCACTCGGGAAGGAACTATTCTGTTGAGATCCTCTTGAGAAACTCTCCAGCCCTTCGTCCGTCTCCACTGCAGTCTCTCGCACATCCGTGCCTTCTTTGGGAGAGAGAGAGAGAAAAGGGGAGGAAGAGTGACCCAAGGCCTTTGCCTGTCTCCACCTCAGGCCGTGACACCCACCCTGCCTCTCGTGCTGGCCACAGCAGTGGCTGCAGTGGCCCCTGGACCAGCCACGTCTGTTGGCTGCTTTCACCACCACCTCAACTCCTGGACTCATCCAGAGGTGG